CGCGCAGTACGATGCTTCCACTGGACTTTAACCATTGTAATCTCTTTACTTCGTATCTTTCGGACATCGTACGCCAAAATCAACTATGGCTCTTCTTTGTATGCCAGATTCTCCTGAATCTCAACCTCGTTAGCTGACAGCTTCTTCCCAGAGTCAGATACCCACTTCCTCAAAGTGGATACGTGAAACACGTTATGCACGTCAGGCATCAAATCAGAAAGAAACAGTCGGTAAGCAGATTTTCCAACCCTTTTCAGGATTTCATAATGTCCAACATACCTTGGACTAAGCTTACTCACCTGGCCAAATCTGCTCAAACCCTTCATCGGGCTGACTTTGACATACACAAAGTTACCAACTTGAAACTCAACAAACCTGTGCTTCTGATTGTAATATTTCTGCTGTCAATCCTGAGCTGCTTTCAATCTTTCTTTAATCAAGCTTATCTTCTTAACAGTTTCTTTAAGGAAAGTGGCACCCAGTTCTTGTCTATCTCCGACCTCAGTCAGAGTCAAAAGAGTACGACACTTCCTACCATACAGAGCCTCGTACGGTGCCATACCGATGCTAGACTGAAAACTATTGTTATAGGCAAACTCAATCAGAGGAATGTGATCTTCCCAGCTTCCTCCAAAATCCAAAACACAAAGCCATAACAGATCTTCCAGTACCTGAATGGTCCTCTCAGACTGTCCGTCGGTCTGAGGATGAAAAGCTGTACTGAAATGTAGTTTCGTACCCAAGCCTTGCTGAATGCCCTTCCAAAGTCTGGAAGTAAATCGTTCGTCTCGATCAGATACGATCACTTTAGGCACACCGTGCAATCTGACTATCTCCTTGACATATATCTGTGCCAAGCGATCCACCGGATCGGTCTGTCTGATCGGAAGAAAATGGGCGGACTTCGTCAGTCGATCTACAACCACCCAAATGGCGTCGTGTCCTTATCTAGATCGAGGGAAACTCATCGCAAAGTCCATCGTTACCTCCTCCCACTTCCATTCAGGGATAGGCAACGTCTGCAATAGTCCACCTGGTCGTTGATGCTCTGCCTTCACCAACTGACAGGCCTCGCATCTCGACACAAACTCTGCCACATAATTCTTCATCCCAGGCCACCAGAACAAAAGTTTCATATCAACATACATCTTACCACTGTCTGGATAAATAGTGTAGCCTGAATGATGAGATTCGTATAGAATCTCCTGCCTCAAATCTCCAAACACAGGTACCAACAACATGTTCTTACAGAAAATAGCACCATAATCAGAAATTCGAAGTTCAGGGGTATTACCAGATCCAATCTGAGCAATCAACTTCGAATAGTCAGAATCTGACTTTTGGGCTTCCTGAATCCTTGCTTTCAAAGAAGACTGAATACTCATCTGAGCCAAATCCAAACCACTGGAGGAGATCACTTCCAACTGTAATCGCTCCATGTCTCGAATCAGGAAATCATCAAAAGTGAGCTGCAAACCGGATAATCCAGAAGACTTCCTGCTCAGAGCGTCCGCTACCACATTAGCCTTCCTAGGCTGATACTGAATGGTCAAATCATAGTCCTTGATCAACTTGAGCTATCTTCTCTATCTCAGATTCAGATCCTTCTGAGAGAAAATGTACTAAACACATCCCAAACCTTTTAGTGAAGCATCACTGAACACCTGAAATCCTTCCGTACTTGACGGAAGTGCTAACACTGGAGCTGAAGTCAAACAATCCTTCAATCTCTGAAAACCAGCTTCACACTCTGGTGTCCAAATAAAAGGTACTGCCTTCTGCGTCAATCTCGTCAAAGGCGTCGAAATCTGTGAAAATCCCTTCACAAATTTCCTGTAATATCCGGCCATGCCCAAGAAACTACGTACCTCAAATACCGTAGTCAGCCTCGGCTAATTAGCAACCGCCTGAATCTTTTGGGGATCAACAGAAATGCCTTCTCCGCTCACCACATGCCCCAGAAATGAAATGCTCTTCAGCCAGAATTCACACTTGGAGAACTTGGCATACAGCTGATGCCGCCTCAAAGTCTCCAACACAATGCTCAAGTGTCTGGCATGATCATCCTCAGAAGCAGAATATACCAGAATATCGTCAATGAAGACAATCACGAACTGATCCAGAAACTCCCTGAACACTCGGTTCATCAGATCCATAAAAATAGCAGGCGCGTTGGTTACCCCAAAAGGCATAACCAAGAACTCGTAGTGCCCGTACCGAGTACTGAAAGCAGTCTTCACCACATCAGATTCCTTCACCTTCACCTGATAATATCCGGATCTCAAAT